AAAATCCCCAAAAATCAGGAAAAAATCGCCAAAAAATCAGGAAAAATTGCTAAAAATTCAGGAAAAATCCCCAAAAATTAGGAAGAAATAGCCCAAAAATCAAGGAAAAAATCGCCCAAAAGTATGAAAAAATCCCCAAGAAATCAGGAAAAAATCCCCAAAAAATCAGGAAAAAATGAGTAAAAAATTAGGAAAAAATCCCCAAAAAATCAGGAAAATATCCCCAAAAATTAGGAAAAAATCCCCAAAAAATCAGGAAAATATCCCCAAAAATTAGGAAAAAATCCCCAAAAAATCAGGAAAATATCCCCAAAAATTAGGAAAAAATCCCCAAAAAATCAGGAAAATATCCCCAAAAATTAGGAAAAAATCCCCAAAAAATCAGGAAAATATCCCCAAAAATTAGGAAAAAATCCCCAAAAAATCAGGAAAATATCCCCAAAAATTAGGAAAAAATCCCCAAAAAATCAGGAAAATATCCCCAAAAATTAGGAAAAAATCCCCAAAAAATCAGGAAAATATCCCCAAAAATTAGGAAAAAATCCCCAAAAAATCAGGAAAATATCCCCAAAAATTAGGAAAAAATCCCCAAAAAATCAGGAAAATATCCCCAAAAATTAGGAAAAAATCCCCAAAAAATCAGGAAAATATCCCCAAAAATTAGGAGGAAAATCCCCAAAAATTAGGAAAAAATTCCCAAAAAATCAGGAAAACATAGCCAAAACATCAGGAAAAAATAGCCAAAAAATCAGGATAAAATCACTAAAACATTAGAAAAAAATCACCAAAATTTAGGAAAAAAATCCCAAAAAATTAGGAAAAAATCCCAAAAAAATCAGGAAAAATTAGTAAAAAAATTAGGAAAAATCCCCAAAAAATCAGGATAAAATCACTAAAAAATTAGGGAAAAATCACCAAAAATTAGGAAAAAATCACCAAAAAATCAGGAAAAATTAGGAAAAAATTAGGAAAAAATCCCCAAAAAATCTCCAAAAATTAGGAAAAAATCCCCAAAAAATTAGGAAAAAATCCCCCAAAAATCAGGAAAAATTAGTAAAAAATTAGGGAAAATCCCCAAAAAATCAGGATAAAATCACTAAAACATTAGGGAAAAATAGCCTAAAAATCAGGATAAAATCACTAAACTATCAGGAAAAAATCCACAAAAAATCAGGATAAAATCACTAAAAAATCAGGTAAAACTCCCCAAAAATCAGGATAAAATCCCCAAGAAATTAGGAAAAATAGCCAAAAAATCAGGATAAAAAAATTAGGAAAAAATCGCCAAAAAATCTTCAAAAATTAGGAAAAAATCCCCCAAAAATTAGGAAAAAATAGCCAAAAAATCAGGATAAAATCACTAAAACATTAGGAAAAAATCACCAAAAATTAGGAAAAAATCACCAAAAAATCAGGAAAAATTAGGAAAAAATTAGGAAAAAATCGCCAAAAAATCTTCAAAAATTAGGAAAAAATCCCCCAAAAATCAGGAAAAAATAGCCAAAAAATCAGGATAAAATCACTAAAACATTAGGAAAAAATCACCAAAAATTAGGAAAAAATCACCAAAAAATCAGGAAAAATTAGGAAAAAATCAGGAAAAAATAGCCAAAAAATCAGGATAAAATCACTAAAACATTAGGAAAAAATAGCCAAAAATTAGGAAAAAATCCCCAAAAAATCAGGAAAAAAATCCCCAAAAATTAGGAAAAAAATCCCCAAAAATTAGGAAAAAATTCCAAAAAATTTAGGAAAAAATAAGGAAAAAATAGTAAAAAATTAGGAAAAAAATAGCCAAAAAATCAGGAAAAATTAGGAAAAAATCCCAAAAAAAATAGGAAAAAATCCCAAAAAATCAGAAAAAAATAAGGGAAAAATCAGAAAACATTAGGAAAAAATAGCCAAAAAATCAGGGAAAAAACCACCAAAAATTAGGAAAAAATTCCCCAAAAAATCAGGAAAAATCACTAAAAAATTAGGAAAAAAATCCCTAAAAAATCAGGAAAAATCAGTAAAAAATTAGGAAAAAATGCCCCAAAAATCAGGAAAAAATCCCTAAAACTCTGGGAATAAACGGACTTCCCAATTTTCTCTCCGTCCTCCGCAGACCCTCGAAGAAATCGTCGAAGGCGCCGCTGCCCGCCGCTCCTTCCTCGCTGCTGGACTCCGAGGAGGAGGAGGAGTCCAAGCCCATGAGCTACGACGAGAAGCGCCAGCTGAGCCTGGACATCAACAAGCTGCCCGGGGAGAAGCTGGGCAGGGTCGTGCACATCATCCAGTCCCGCGAGCCCTCGCTGCGCGACTCCAACCCCGAGGAGATCGAGATCGACTTCGAGACGCTCAAGGCCAGCACGCTCAGGGAGCTCGAGAGATACGTGCTGTCGTGCCTGAGGAAGAAACCGGTGCAAAAATCTGAATTTTTGGGAATATTTTGGTCAAAAATGGTGCAAAAATCTGAATTTTTGGGAATAATTTTGTCCAAAAATGCTAAAAAAAGGGTCCAGATTTTGGAATTTTTTGGGATTTAATTAATCAAAAAAAACCCCAAAAACGGTCCAGAATTCTTGGGATTTTTGGGAATTTTGGGGTTGGGAATTTGGGATGGGTTGGGCAGCTGAACTCGGCCAAAAAACCCCCAAAAAAGGGTTGGGAATTTGGGAATTTTGGGCAATTTTGGGGTTGGGGATGTTGGGTGGGGATTTTTGGGAATATTTTGGTCAAAAATGGTGCAAAAATCTGAATTTTTGGGAATAATTTTGTCCAAAAATGCTAAAAAAAGGGTCCAGATTTTGGATTTTTTTAGGATTTAATTGATCCAAAAACCCCCAAAAATGGTCCAGAATTTTTGGGATTTTTGGGAATTTTGGGGTTGGGAATTTGGGATGGGTTGGGCAGCTGAACTCGGCCAAAAAACCCCCAAAAAAGGGTTGGGAATTCGGGAATTTTGGGCAATTTTGGGGTTGGGGATGTTGGGTGGGGTGGGGAAATTAATTCTGGAAAATACAAAAAAAAAACGGGGCAAAAATCTGAATTTTTGGGAATGATTTGGTAAAAAAATGGTGAAAAAATAGGAATTTTTGGGAATAATTTTGTCCAAAAATGCTCAAAAAATCTGAATTTTTGGCAATAATTTAATCAAAAAATGGTCAAAAAATCTGAATTTTTGGCAATAATTTGGTCCAAAAATGCTCAAAAAATCTGAATTTTTGGCAATAATTTAATCAAAAAATGGTGAAAAAAATCTGAATTTTTGGGAATAATTCTGTCCAAAAATGCTCAAAAAATGGTGCAAAAAATCCGAATTTTTGGGAATAATTTGGTCTAAAAATGGTGGAAAAATTGAATTTTTGGGAATAATTTTGTCAAAAAATGCTCAAAAAATCTGAATTTTTGGAGATAATTTGGTCAAAAAACGCTGAAAAAAATGTGAATTTTTGGCAATAATTTGGTCCAAAAATGGTGCAAAAATCTGAATTTTTGAGGAATAATTCCACCAAAAATGGCTCAAAACATGTCAGGAATTTGGGGATTTTTGGGAATTTTTGGGAATTTTGGGTTGGCAATTTTGGGTGAGGTGTGAAGCTGCAATTCTGGGAATTTTTTCCCAATTTTTCCCATTTTTTTGCCCCCTCAGCCAACGAGAAGCCGGAGTGGTTTGGGTGGGGGGGGGCAGCTGAATTTGGCCTAAAAACCCCAAAAAAAAGGGTCCAAAATTTGGGAATTTTTGGGATTAATTCCAGGAGTGGTTTGGGTGGGGGGGGGCAGCTGAATTCGGCCTAAAAACCCCAAAAAAAAGGGTCCAAAATTTGGGAATTTTTGGGATTAATTCCACCAAAAAAACCACAAAAAATAATTGGAAAAATGGGAATTTTTGGGGAATTCTGGGTTGGGAATTTTGGGTGGGGTGGGAAACTGAATTTTGGGGAAAAAAAACCCAAAAATGGTGCAAAAATCTGAATTTTTG